AACTGAAGAAGAGATTGACCGAGGCGCCGGTACTCGCACTACCCAAACAGGGTGTGGGGTACGATGTCTACAGCGACGCAAGCATCCAAGGGCTTGGATGTGTCTTGATGCAGAATGGGAGGGTGATTGCCTATGCTTCACGACAGTTGAAGAAGCATGAGGTAAATTATCCCACTCATGACTTAGAACTGGGGGCGGTGGTGTTCGCATCGAAGATTTGGAGACATTATCTCTACGGGGAAACATGTCATATATACACTGACCACAAAAGCTTGAAGTACGTGTTTACTCAAAAAGAGTTAAACATGAGACAGAGACGGTGGATGGAGTTGATAAAAGACTACCATCTAGTTATCGAGTACCACCCCGGTAAAGCCAACGTAGTAGCGGATGCCTTGAGCCGGAAGAACTCATCTGGGGCATTAGTGACTAGCTTGAGGGCATTGAGAGCCCAATTGGAGGTATCTAGCGATGGTGCCTTATTAGCCAGATTCGAGGTGAGACCCACATTACTTGATGAAATCAAGAAGGGTCAAGAAACCGACGAAGAAATTATGAAGATCCGTGAACGCATGCTAGCGGGACCGGTTGAGGATTTCAGGGAGAGAGACGATGGTCTCTTATTATTTCGTGACCGAGTGTGTGTACCGTTGGATGATGAGCTCCGAAAGTCCATCTTAGAGGAGGCTCATTCATCGGCGTATGCCATGCACCCGGGAGACACGAAGATGTACCGTGATTTGAAGGAAAGTTACTGGTGGTCGGGTATGAAGAGGGAAATAGCCGAGTACATCAGTAGGTGTCTTACTTGTCAGCAAGTTAAGGCAGAACATCAGCATCCGACTGGGTTACTACAGACATTTTCCATTCCTGAATGGAAGTGGGAGCACGTGACTATGGATTTTGTGGTGGGGCTGCCACGAATGGTTAAGAACTATGATGCCGTATGGGTGGTGGTCGATAGGCTCACGAAGAGTGCACACTTTCTACCTATCAACACTACCTATGCACTGGAGAGGTTAGCCAAGTTGTATGTGGACGAGATCGTGAGGCTACATGGGGTTCCTATAACCATTGTATCCGATAGAGATCCGCGATTCACATCACGATTTTGGCCGAAATTCCAAGAATCTATGGGGACCAAATTGAAATTCAGTACAGCTTTTCATCCACAAACGGATGGGCAATCTGAGCGAGTTATACAGATATTAGAGGATATGTTGAGAGCCTGTGCATTGGAGTTCCAAGGGAGTTGGGACAACCATTTGTCACTTGTGGAGTTTGCCTATAACAACAGTTATCAGGCGAGTATAGGCATGCCTCCATACGAGGCATTGTATGGGAGGAGATGTCGTACACCGTTGTGTTGGGATGAGGTTGGCGTGGCCAAACTCGAGAGCACAGAATTGTTGGAGATCACCAAGTCTAAGGTGAAGATGATTCGTGAGAGACTTAAGGCGGCCCAGGATAGACAGAAAAGTTATGCCGATAAGCGCCGAAGAGCCTTGGAGTTTAAGGTGGGAGATGAAGTATTTTTGAAAGTTTCACCTTGGAAGGGAATCATCCGATTTCAGAGCCGAGGGAAACTTAACCCACGATACATAGGGCCATTCGTGGTTCTTGAGAGGATTGGGGCCGTGGCATACCGATTACAGTTGACTCCAGAATTGGAGAAGATACATAACGTATTCCACGTGTCCATGCTTAAGAAGTATATGCCGGATCCATCTCATGTATTAGAAAAACCACCCGTGGAAATACGGGAAGACTTGAATTATGCCGTGCAACCGGTGAAGATACTTGACAGGCAAGTCAAGAAATTGAGAAGCAAGAAAGTTCCAATGGTTAAAATCCTTTGGAAAAGTGACCGAGTTGAGGAGGAAACTTGGGAGACGGAAGCTTTGATGAAAGAGCAATACGCGTTTTTGTTTGAATGAGCATTGTGAATTTCGGGGACGAAATTCCCGTTAAGGGGGGGTGAACTTGTAACACGAACCCGAGCATATTTACTTTTAGTAAATTATGTAATAAACCTTGAAGAATGATTTATGAATTTACGTAATTGTTAAATTTCATTATTTCTTTTACGTGAATAGTAAATTGCATGTGGGGCCCACAGCGGGAACGTGGACCGCCCGATAATTCCCGAACCACATATTATATTCATCTTGGTCTAGATAATATGTATATGGTGGTGGACATTTTATTTGGGCCATAAGAAAGGCATGGAGTTGACCGGTTGGTCAAACGGGGCCCAATTACCGGTATTGGCAATTTAACGGATAACAGCCCGAAATGAGTTTCGGAGACTCCTAAATTAATTTTGGGGAATATACATCTATTCTAAAGGTCCATAATTATTAGGGACACGTGATATATTTTATTTGGCCCGATAAAATAAAATATGATTAAAACGGGCCGAAAAATGCAACTTTCGGGACCGATTGTGCACGTCTGGACGAAAGGGGGTGACCTCCCACACAAGTGGGGGCCAACCCACGAGTTTTCCCAGCTCTTGGAGGCTGGCATGGGGTAAATGGTGGCTGAAATCCATTGAAGGGATGGGGGAGACCATCTTGACACCTAAGGGGACCCCTAACCTCACCCAATTGTCAACCAAGGACAAAAGTACCATCCTCCCTCCTCTCCCACTCATTGTACTCGTCCAGCACCAAGAAAAGAAGGCCAAGGAGCTCTGAAAACCTCACCTTCCATAGCCAACTCGAGCTCAAGCTCAAACAAGAAAAAGGAAGAGGTTTCGAGAAGAAGAAAGGTAGAAAAAGTGTGAAGAATCAAGGTAATGACCTCATACTAACTTTTTCTCTACTTCTTAGCTACCCTAAGACTTATACATCATGCTTAGGACCCCTAGGATTGTTCTTCATGTTTAGAAGTGTAGAACAAGGGGTTGGAAGGTATTTCTAAGTCCAAGAACGGACTTAGAAGTCAAATGACCGGTTCGCCGGAAAATAACCTTTCAAGGGTTATTTGTGTTGATATGGGTTTTGTGATGATAAAACCTTGTTAGGAACTTGCCTAAAGTGTTCCTAAGTCTCGCCGGAGTCTCGTCGGAGTTTCGCCGGAGTTCACCGGAGTATTGCCGGAGTTCAACCTAGAAGGGTAGAGCTTCTTCAAGCAAATTCGAGGTGAGGATGGCTGACTATATTGCGTATAATTAGTGAGTTAATTTCATGAGATTACCGAAGGTAATTAAATGTGTTTTTATGGATTATTAATGATTAATAATGCCTAAGAATGAAAAGACTAAATGTCTAGAGAAAAAGGATCATGATATACAAATTTAAGAATAAATTGTGTATGTTCATGTGTTATGACTATGTTGACTTGAAAGTGGAATTTATTATGAAACATGTGTTGAAATATACTTTTTTCTTCATATTAGAATATATGAGTGATTAAAAGTGATATTTTGGATATTGAGATAAATGATGTTTTCAAAGGAAAATCAGTTGGGATTGTCTATATGACTATGAGTTGAGAACTTGGTTTGTTGATATTAATTTGACTAGTATTAAGATACTAGTTGGACATTAAAATGAAATGTTGTTAAGATTGATCCAAAGGTTGGATTGTAAAATGTTATGCCTTAAGTAGTCTTAAGAGATGCTTTAAGGTAGGAAAGTATGAACTTTAAGTTATACTAGGGGTAGGCCTTAAGGGATACCCAAGATAGTGTGAGTATTAAATTGATCCTAAGTATAGGATTGGCCTACGGGTGTGATCGGTGATTCTTGTGGATAGCCGGTTGAATTATGGAAATAGTAAGGACCATGGCCCTTCCCGACTCTAGAGAGCGGGGTTGGATAGCATGGACTTACATCGTGATCACGGGTTAGGGTGGAATCCGAATCGGAGACCTAACTAGGTTCCGGTAGCGGTAACACATAAGATAGGATCCCGAAGGGCCTTACCTTCCTACGGGATGATGGGTACGAGTCCAGGGGCGGGATGTTGGAGTCCGAACCGGGAGCCTCATGAGGTCTCGGACAATGGTAGCAAGTCCCGTAGAAATAATAGGACCCAAGGGTTGGGTTGTGCAAATGATAAATGAAAAAGGATATATATAAGAATGGCCGTGTGCCGACAAATAAATAAATTTACTTATTATAAAGATAATAAGTGGGAAATATAAATTATTATTTATATTATGATATCACCCTATTTTGAGGGTCTTGGAAATTAAAACGTTGATTATACTTAGTATAGTTGCTATTGTACTTGTCAAATATTTCCAAGTACTGACCTCCCCTTCACGGGGGAGGCCACCTCACAGTTTCAGGTAGAACTTGAAGGTTGCTACCGGTGCCCGTTGCTTCGGGGATTTTCAAGGGAGAAGACGTGATTCGTGCTTCTTCTGTTTCCTGTTTTCAAAACAATTATAATAGTGCTCATGGATATTATTTTGAACAACTATTTGGGGGCTTGCATGCCCATGTTTTCCAAAGTGTGGCTAAGACACTTCTATTAAATGTTTCCGCTGTTTTAAATGAATGTTTTACATTATGTTTGTTTATGGATGTACTATGTGCGAATGATATTCATGACGCCTTGTATAGTATGGATGAGTTATACTACGGTTGACTATTCGTACTGTACGGCGGGTTGTTGACGTGTCCGGCTAGGTCCGGGGCGTGACAGGAAAGATGCGGAAAGATGGAGTACGGTGTTCAATCGCTTGCTTTAATTTTGCTTTTATTTGCCTTGGTGGGTGGCTTGTGGGGTGGGGGGGGGGGGGTGAAAAGGGCTAGTGGGGTGGGATATAATTTAAAAAAATTGGAGGTAGTTAAATCGGATGGCCACAATTGTTTGATACACACACAAAGAAAATTAGGTACATCCAACGGTTAAAAATAGATCTAACAGGTAAAATAATTTATTTTATTTTTTGATTATTTTTTATAAAAAATTGGATTGAGATTTCTATATAAACACTACTCATATCTTCATTTCAATACACCTCAATCATCATTCTTCCTCTACTTTATATTTGTTTTTTAGCAATTTGTAATACTACTTAATAAATGTCTTCACAAAAGAGGGGTTCTGATCGGAGTTACAATGAAGATGTATTCTTGTGTAACTCTTGGGTGTCTATTTCTGAAGATGGTGCAGTTGGAATCAATCAAGCGGGCTTCATTCTAGTCCCGAGTTCACATGTTGTTCTGTCAACAAGCAAATACGACAGTTCGAACTAGGGAGGCTGTTGAATCACGGTTCAAAGTTATCAATCATCAGTGTTCGTTATGGAAGGGGAGTTTGCGAAAGGCAAATGCAACCCAGAGAAGTGGATCGAATCTAATCGATGTGGTATTTTAAAGTATTTCTTCCCTAATATTATTACAACATTTTATGTATTACATGAATATATTATTCATTATTTCTATTTTACATGCTATTATAATTATGTATATTACTAATATTATTTATATATTACATTAATATATCTATTAGTACGTAAATATTATAGATATATTTTTCACATTATAGATATAATAATATAAAAAATATTACATTAAGTATCTAGTACGTAATATAAAAAATATTACATTAAGTATCTAGTACGTATCTATTAGTACGTAAATATTATAGGTATATTACATATCTAATAATATCTATTACTACGTATAGTAAATATTATAGATATATTTTTTACATTATAGCACGTTCTAATTTGTATATTTACATGCTACATATACGTGTGGTATCTAATACATAAATGTGTGTTTGTAGACGTTTGCCGCAAAAATAATATTTGTAAATGACAATCATAACAAGGCCTTTAAGTTTGACCATGCTTGGCATATACTTCAAGCATGTCTGAAGTGGTATCAACAATATGATACTACTCCCACTTTTAGGCATGTACCTTCTGTCACTCCTGATACCTTTGTTGGAGGAAGTAGTGGTTCATCTCCTTCCGATGGTATAAGTGGTCCTCTACGACGTCCCGAGGGGCATGACAAACAGAAGGGAAAGAAAATAGCAAAAAATAAGAATTCAAGGACGAACCTCGTGATGCTTGAGTACATGGAAAGAATGTTGAAGCAAGGGGAGCAAATGGAAAAGAGAAGAGAGGAGAAGTATGAGGCGGCGAAGGAGAATGTTGATGCGACTACAAGACTGAGACATATATGTCGTAACCATGGACCTAAGTCAATACTCACCGAGGAAGCAGAAGTGGCTAAAAGAACAACAAAATGCCATTTTGGGCCATGATCAAGATGCCTCGAGTACCGATGCCGCCACTTCCGCATATGGGGATGACTACTTTCCTAGATTTGACTAGGGCATGGATGGTGTGGTCTTTCCTTTTTCGTTTTTTTATTTAATTCTAGTGTATTTCAGTTTTCTTTTTGTTATTTAATTCTAGTGTATTTCAGTTTTCCTTTTTGTTATTTAATTCCAATATATTTCAATTTTCGTACTTGTTATTTAATTCCAGTGTACTTTGGTTTTCGTTATTTAATTCAATTTCATTTTAGTTTCGTTATTTAATTGAATTATAATTCAGTTTTTGTTATTTAATATAATCGAGTGGGAGTTTTCGTTATTTAAATAATTTTTTTATTAAAAAGTTTGAATAAACAACTACTTGCCTTATCCTATCACATCTTGATTGTTCAATGCACATGTAACTAGTAGCCACTTGCTATGTCCTTTCACATCTAATAAGTACCCACTCATTTTTAAAATATCTTGCCACTTGGTTAATATTTTTGTATAAATAGATGTCTCACTTCACAATCTTCTCACACTCAATCCTCCTGATTTTTGTATACACTCTAATATATTCCTTTATCATGGGTTCTTATCTCGATATGTTCGCAGCCTTGGATGAGTATGATGATTCTGAGGCCGACACTCATCGTATGAGAATGGGTATTATGGCGACACTTGTTTCTTCAAGCTCTGATGGTCATCATGAGTACATTGACCGAGGTAGGGAAGATGGCCACCAATGTTTGATGGATGACTATTGGAGTCTAAATCCAACTTACAACGCTCGCATCTTTCGGCGTCGTTTTCGCATGCTACCGCCTTTGTTTGATCGAATAATGAATGATCTGGTGCGAGCCGATCCTTTCTTCGCACCAAAAAAGATGTACTGAATAAGGTATCACTTTCTCCTCACCAAAAAATTACTAGTGCCATATTCATGCTAGCAAATGGCTGCTCTGCCGATTCATTAGATCAGTTGTGCCGTCTGGGGGAGAGAATGACTTTGTCGTGTTTGAAGAAATTTTGTAAGGCAATTATCGGAACATATGGTTCCTGGTACTTGCGAACACCAAACCCTAGTGACCTCCACCGTCTTCTTGAGAAGGCTACAAAAAGAGGTTTTCCCGACATGTATGCACTGGGAATGGAGGAATTGTCCTACAGCATGAGCGGGACAGTTCACTTGCCACAAGCACAAACCAACTATTGTGCTTGAGGCCGTTGCTTCGTACGACACATGGATATGGCATGCATTTTTCGGCAAGTCGGGTTCCAACAATGACCTTAACGTACTTGCATGCTCTCCAGCTTTTTACGCTGTTGTTAATGGATGTGCTCCTCAGGTAAATTACATGGTCAACAATAACATCTACAATTAATGTTATTATTTAGCCGACGAAATCTATCCCACATGGGCGACTTTTGTTAAAACAATTAGTAACCCTGACACCCTCTAGAAACGCCTCTTTGCTGCTAAGCAAGAGGCGTATCGCAAAGATGTGGAAAGAGCGTTTGGCATTTTACAAACGCGATGGGCTATCGCGTTTGTAAAATGCCCAACGCTCTTTCCACATCTTTGCGAAACACCTCTTTGCGTTTTTAAACAATAAATATTGGTCAAAATAAAATTAACACATAAATGATGTGTAATAAAATAACCAAGGATTTATGGATTTAATTAAAAAAATGTGCTGAGTGGATATATTGACGGTGTTGGGTTGCAGAGAAAAACTGAATTGACTGAGTGAATAGGTATAAACTGGAGGGGAATTAGATTTATATCCCCTTGGTCCAAAAGGTGGAATCTCCCACCCCAGGAGCCCCCCATACCCCGACCCGACAGGATTTTTGGGAGGATGTTAATCACGGTGACTCAGTCGGCCCAATGATGGTAGGCTTTTTTCCCGTGCGCACCAGAGGCCCAGCCTTATTTCAGGTTCGGTGACCTCCACACGGCCACTGCGGGTTTTGAACCTTGGTCACTTGGTCCAAATTTCCCACCATTGAACCAACTGAGCCACCTGTGCGGGTAGAGCCGTCAAAATGGGCCAAAACCCGCGGGGCTGACCCGTTTAAACCCATTTATTGGTGTGTTAGGGTTGAAAATTTCTGACCCATTTAGTTCGCGGGTTTCGTGGGTCAACCCACGCGGGTTGTGGGTTTAAGTGGGTTGGCCCACCGGGTTGCGAGTTGGCCCGCGGGCCAATATACAAAAATATAGTTTTCAATTTTATTATCTTAAATATTATCCTTTTACTACCAATATTATTATAATTACAAATAAAAAATTACAACCATGGCAAAACAATATAACAACAACAACAACATCCAAGCCTTAGTCCCAAAAGATATTGGGGTCGGCTAACATGAATCGATACATGATATCACAACCAAAAGGAAAAGAAGGAATAAAGATAAAAAGATAAGCTATTATGAAAAGATAATATAAAAAAGATGAATATATATATATATAAATGATAAAATAAAAAGGTTGCAAATAATGCTTATAAATATATATATATATATATATATATATATAAGGATAAAAAAAACAACGAAAAAAAAAGATGAGGGGAAAAAATTATCAAGATCACTCCTTCACGTGAATACCCGCCCTCCACTTAGTTCTCTCCAAAGTCATGCCCTCATCCAACCCCAGAAAAAGCATATCACTTCGAACTCCCCTAACCCACGTCTGTTTGGGTCTTCCTCTCCCTCTCTTCCCTGCCTCTTGTCCACACATCTCAACTCGCCTAACAGGTGCATCACTCGGTCTTCTACGCACATGACCAAACCACCGTAGACGCGACTCCCGCATCTTGTCTTCAATAGGTGCTACTCCCACCCTATGTCTGATTGTCTCATTCCTCACGCGGTCCTTCCTAGTATGCCCACACATCCAACGCAGCATGCGCATCTCTGTCACACTCATCTTATGAATGTGACATTGTTTCACCGCCCAACACTCTACGCCATACAGTAATGCAGGCCTAATTGCTGTCCTATAAAATTTACCCTTCAGTCTAGTCGGCATACCTCGGTCGCATAGAAATCCTGACGCACTCTTCCACTTCATCCACCCTGTTCTGATTCTATGGGATACATCTCCATCTAACTCACCGTCCTTCTGAATTATGGAGCCCAAGTAACGGAACATATCGCTGACCGGTATCTCCTTACCATCCAGAGTAATTCCGCTATTACCACTACTTCTACCTCCACCAAACTTGCACTCCATGTACTCTGTCTTGCTCCGACTTAGTTTGAAACCCTTATTCTCCAATGTTTGTCGCCATACTTCCAACTTTGCTTTAAGACCTGATTGCGTCTCATCAATCAATACAATATCGTCGGCAAACATCATGCACCACGGTATATCGTCTTGAATTGACTTCGTAAGTTCATCCATGACTATGGCAAATAAGAAAGGACTCAAGGCCGATCCTTGGTGCACTCCGATAGTAATAGGGAACTCTTCAGTCCTCCCTACACTAGTACGAACACTTGTAGTACAATCCTCATACATATCCATGATGATGCTGATATACTTGCGTGATATGCCTTTCCTAGTTAAGGCCCACCAAAGAACTTCTCGAGGTACCCTATCATATGCCTTTTCTAAGTCAATGAACACCAAATGCAGATCCTTATGAGCATCTCTATACTTCTCCATAAGTTGTCGAAGAAGGTGAATGGCCTCAGTTGTTGAGCGACCAGGCATAAAACCGAATTGATTTTCTGAAATCTTCACAGTCCTTCGAAGTCTTTGCTCAATCACTCGCTCCCAAAGTTTCATGGTGTGACTCATAAGCTTAATCCCTCGATAGTTGGCACATTCTTGTACATCACCTTTATTCTTAAATAAGGGGATAAGAGTACTCTTCCTCCAACTCGTTGGCATCTTATTGTTTCTCCAAATCATGTTGAAGAAACTTGTTAACCACTCGACGCCTCTCTCTCCCAAACTTCTCCAAGCCTCGATCGGTATGCCATCTGGCCCCATTGCTCTTTTCCGTCCCATCTTCCTCAGAGCTTCTTTAACTTCCGTTGTTTGGATCCTTCTCACAAAATCACGGTTTACCATACAATCTGGTATGGACAAATCGCCGATATCTTGCGTTTTGTTCCCGTTGAATAGTGTATCAAAGTATGACCTCCACCTTTCTTTTATCTCTCCGTCGTCCATTAATATCCTCTGATCAACATCCTTCACACACTTAACTTTTGCAATATCTTGAGTTCTGCGATCACGAAGACGAGCAAGTCTATAAATATCTAGTTCTCCTTCCTTAGAGTCCAACTTTTCATACAACTCCTTGTTCACTTTTCCTCGTGCTTCCCTTACGGCTTTCTTTGCTTGTCTTTTAGCCTCCCTGTATGCTTCTATGTTCTCATCACTCCAATTTGTCCCCAACTTTTTGTAGCAATCTCTTTTGTTCCTTATGGATTGTTTCCTCTCATCATTCCACCAAGATGTGTCCTTTTTAGGTGGTCGACATCCTTTAGATTCTCCAAGTACCTCCTTTGCCACTTTGTTAATGGTCAACTCCATTGATAACCACACATCATCCACATGTGTTTCATTATCAATACGCCATACATCTTCACCGACCATTTTGTGTGTAAAACTTTGTTGAAGATCTCCCTCAAGCCTCCACCACTTTATCTTTGGTTCCACTTGTTGTTTAACTTGTCTTCTATGGTTCTTACCTCGAAAGTCAAGCACAAGCATCCTATGCTGAGTGACAACACTCTCACCTGGAATAACCTTACAATCAGTGTAGCTAGTTCTCCAAGTGGTCCGTACTAAGAAGTAGTCAATTTGGGTACTATTAGCTCCACTTTTATAGGTTACAAGGTGAGAGTCTCTTTTCTTAAACCAAGTGTTCATTATAGCCAACTCATACGTCAAGGCAAAATCCAAAATGTTCTTTCCCGCCTCATTCCTAGTGCCAAAACCATGTCCGCCATGAATATTCTCAAAGCCATCACGACTCGAGCCCACATGCCCGTTGAGGTCACCTCCTATGATCAACTTCTCTCCCCTTGGCACTCGTCGCACCACGTCCTCAAGATCTTCCCAGAACTGTTGAGTTGTAGATGTATCCAATCCCACTTGTGGTGCATAGGCACTTACCACAGACACAATCTCACCTCTTATCACCAATTTAATGCTCATGATGCGATCGTTCTTCCTGAAGACTTCTACCACATCCTCAACATAGTCACGCGCCACAATAATGCCTACCCCATTTCTAGTCTTATCTCTCCCCGAATACCACAACTTAAAACCTCCGGGATTAATCTCGCGTGCTTTCTCACCAACCCATTTAGTTTCTTGCACACACATAATGCTGATATTCCTTCTGCTCATAACCTCGACTACCTCGGAAGATTTGCCTGTAAGAGACCCAACATTCCATGTCCCAAAACGCAATCTAGCATTCCACCTTCTGTTCTTAGCCCCATCTCGGACCCCACCATGCCCTTGCCTATTTGACATCATCCCCGGGCAATGGGATGACGCGCCGCTTCTGGGCGGCGACCTAGCAACCTTAGCATTCTTTTCACCACACCCAGGTCTATCAAGTGTAGCGCGCCCTTGCATATTCAATAATAAATATTCAAATAAAATGTTGAAACATATATTTTATGTGAAGTTCGATACAATATTTAACAATTAGTAGTCATTATTTACAAATAATTAATCAAAAGGTTTATGTAGATCTTTATTTTTATACAATGAGTATTTTTGTCGCATACCCTCTTATAGTTTTCAAATTCTCGTATAACTAGTATTTAATATTTTTTAATTAAACTTAACAAGTATTGAATTTTTAGTATTTTGATTTTTTATATTTCCTTTGTTACTACTTACTAATATAAATTTATACTTCCGAGTAAATATTTTTAATTTTTTGTTATAATAATTTCCTTTGATTTTTTTACATATTGACCCGCGGACCAATCCGTTTAACCCACGAGTTAGGTGGATTGTGTTAGGGTTGTAGAAGTTCTGGCCTGTCATTAAACGGGTTGGCCTGACCCAATCCATATAGACCATAACCCGTCACGGGTCGGGTCGGATTGAGCCGGGTTGGGCCGTTTGACAGCTCTACATGCGGGTAGTTTTATATCCCCTATTGACCCAGCAATGCTCGTATATAAAAAACGGAAGATTTTGAAGTTTGAAAGGCAGTCAGTAGTTAGTACGGTACAGAGTTGTGGTAATGACAGGAGATCAAAATTGATTGGGTGAACATTGAAAGTAAGATCTTCACGTAATCGTAACTTGTCCCCCAAGTCACTCCTTAATTATTCCACCCGTTTCGGTTTTACCAGTCTCATCCTCAAGGGTTTTATGCTCTTCTTCTCTAAAACCTTCTACCGTTTTCTTTTTTTATTACAGATTCCAGAAGCTTTCTACATCGTCATGCAATTTTTTCCACAGAATACTCAATAGAGGTGAATTCTTCTCCATGTCTGATAAATCAAAGAGGCAGAAAAGATGCTTCGTCAGCGACGAAGATGTCTCCACTCTTTTACAGAGGTACTGGATTAATCTTCTATAATAATTTCATTTTTTGTTTCAAGAAATGTGTCTGATGGATCTGAAAAGGGATCAGTTTTTTTTCCATTGCAAATTCTTTCGTTAAGGATTCAATACTTTAGCCTTTATTTTCTGGTTATTGATTGGGGATTCATGCAGATACGGCCCGACAACTGTGCTGGCATTGTTGCAAGAGGTCGCGCAGGTGAGGGAAGTGAATATTGATTGGAATGCGTTGGTGAAGAAGACCAAAACCGGGATTACGAATGCCAGGGAGTACCAATTATTATGGCGTCATTTGGCTTACCGCCAACCATTGGTGGACGGATTGGTTGATGGGGCTCAACCTCTGGTTTGTTAATCCATTCACATTCTCTCATATATGTGGGTCCTTGAAAAGGATCTCTTTGAAAATGTTATTATTATTAGGGGGGGGGGATAAAGCTTCAAGAAAAGTAATGATATGTTGGGAATTCAAATGTGGAATTTTAGTTTAAATTCGAGAAGATCATATATCTGTTGATTGAAACTTGAAAGGACTGGTTTAATGAAACTAGGAAAAATGGAAAGAGAGTTTGTTTTGAATTTTTGAATTTTGCAAGTCAAATGCTAGCTGCATATGCATCACAAGATACGCAGAGTAAAACACCATATCATTTTCAAACATCTGCCCTTTTCTTTTGCTATTTGGGATAACACATTTATATTACTGCTCCATAATTCTAATCCTGAAATCTTCACTTTTTATATCAATAGGTTAGGGTTGGAGTTCACTTGTTTTAGGTTTTGATGAGGTTGTAGTTTTTTTTCTTTTAGTATAATAGAATAGGGTGTCCTGAAAATCTATACTGTCAGAGCTGGATTTTCTCCAACACACTATACCTCTAAACAGATCAACTTTTAACGTTTTTCCATTTGTTGTGCCTTATTGACTGTGTCATTAACCATATTTGGATCAATTAGGATGTGCTCCAATACTATAACTCTAAACTAATGAACTTAATTATGAGCTTCCTCAGTCTAGAAAAGGGACATGTTCATGAGTTCATCAACTCTTTGTCCAAAAACAAGAATCTTGTTTAAAAAACTAAAGCTAATTTTTGGCGAATATATGCAATTTCACAGAGTCCTGAAGGTGTTAAACATGGTAAATTGTAAAGTTTTTACTTAGATGGAGACATGGAGGTAGTTTTTTGTAAACAAAAGCATTTGTAGACTTGTAGTACACCGTTTTTTGTATCTGCTATTATGTACAGAGTAGTATTATCTAGAAAATCACAAGGCATTAATTTAACAATTACCTGGCCTTTTTACTCACTCTTTACCTGGCCTTTTTACTCACTCATTGATACGTAGTGCTTGATACAATGATACCTGCCTTTAAGCTCCAGTTTGTTTGAACTTGAGAATTTTGGATGGCAGGATGATGGCAGTGATTTAGAGTATGAATTGGAATCTTACTCGTCAGTAAGTAGTGAAGCATCAATGGAGGCTGCAGCATGTGTAAAGGTGAAACAAATCTAAATTCATGAAGAAATTTCATCCAATCATTGTATACCCTTCCTGGAAAAGCTGCATCAAGCTTATTTGTGTTTAATAAAGCTTCTTTGTACCAGGCACTTCATCTGCCTGGTGTAAGCGGTAGCTTGACTATTATAAATTATAACCTTTTATAGTGATGCAGTGATGCTATGAATATGATGATGATTAAGAACGAAACTCTGCAACTTCTGAACAAACAATATAGAATTTCCTAGTGTACCTATTCACAAGATGACCCCAGAGCCTTGTGTTTATCCTTGAACCACCCAAATTATAGTAACCGGCACATCCTCTGCATTTTTAAGCTGCATAATGGGGTTTGGAGTTTTGGACGCAGCAGTAACTCTTATAGATGTACTTGACTGTTTAGAGTTCACAAACTATTTCTATATGTAGTGGGTGTTGGCCTTGTGCATCGACAACGTTTTCCCCCTAATTACTCAGTTCATATATAGTCACAATGATAAGTTGGTAAGCATTTAAATAGTCACATATATTAAGGGCCTAAGGAGAAACCTTAAGATAGCAGACCTATCACTAAACATACACCAGATATTGTTTAATTTGAAGATGTTGATCATTACTCATTAGTGTTAGTTTTAATCTCAGCAGGCACGATAAAAGTCAGGCAGTATCCTAAAGTATACACCTGAGCAGATTTTTTCCCTTCTCTCTCGATTGTGCGCACTCTTGTGAGTGCTAAATTGCTAACCAATTATGAGTCTGGAATGCACTCGCATTCATAAATTTAATTGTACAGAAGCACTGAGGTATTTGTGTTGGGGTTTGTTAACTTTGTTTTGGACTTGTATAGGTATTGATTGCTTCTGGGACACTAAATGATTCACACATGTCAAATGGCATGACAATTGAAGCTCCATTGACTATAAGTATACCTAATGGACAAAGACCTGAAAGTAATATGGATACTTCACCACAAAGTATTCCCATGCTGGGGTCAAATTTTGTTGTTCCAGTTACTGTGCCAAAAAATCCACTGCCCAGTGTGATATCAACCAAGGGATTAGATGTCAATGGAGCATCAGGTGCAAATTTACCTCAACGAAAAAGAAAACTGTGGTCTGAAACAGAGGATAGAGATCTTATTGCAGCGGTGAAAAGACATGGTGAAGGAAATTGGGCTAACATGGCGAATATGTATTTTAATGGTTACAGAACAGCTTCACAGCTATCTAAGGTTCCTTTTTTTCACTACATACTTTTTCTGTAGAGCTTTATGAGTTTCAAATAACCTGCTGAATAATTTTTTCTGAGCGTATCAGTGAGTTTAAACTTTACTGTTAGGCGTACAATGTACACCTATTTTAATAATTTAAAGTTCAACTACAACAACAACAACAACAACATCCAAGCCTTAGTCCCAAAAGATATTGGGGTCGGCTAACATGAATCGATACATGATATCACAACCAAAAGGAAAAGAAGGAATAAAGATAAAAAGATAAGCTATTATGAAAAGATCATATAAAAAAGATGAATATATATAGAAATGATAAAATAAAAAGGCTGCAAATAATGCATATATATATATATAAGGATAAAAAAACTAGGAAAAAAAGATGAGGGAAAAAGATTATCAAGATCACTCCTTCACGTGAATACCCGCCCTCCACTTAGTTCTCTCCAAAGTCATGCCCTCATCCAACCCCAGAAGAAGCATATCACTTCGAACTCCCCTAACCCACGTCTGTTTGGGTCTTCCTCTCCCTCTCTTCCCTGCCTCTTCTCCACACATCTCAACTCGCCTAACAGGTGCATCACTCGGTCTTCTACGCACATGACCAAACCACCGTAGGCGCGACTCCCGCATCTTGTCTTCAATAGGTGCTACTCCCACCCTTTGTCTGATTGTCTCATTCCTCACGCGGTCCTTCCTAGTATGCCCACACATCCAACGCAGCATGCGCATCTCTGCCACACTCATCTTTTGAATGTGACATTGTTTCACCGCCCAACACTCTACGCCATACAGTAATGCAGGCCTAATTGATGTCCTATAAAATTTACCCTTCAGTCTAGTCGGCATACCTCGGTCGCATAGAAATCCTGACGCACTCTTCCACTTCATCCACCCTGTTCTGATTCTATGGGATACATCTCCATCTAACTCACCGTCCTTCTGATTTATGGAGCCCAAGTAACGGAACATATCGCTGATTGGTATCTCCTTACCATCCAGAGTAATTCCGCTACTACCACTACTTCTACCTCCACCAAACTTGCACTCCATGTACTCTGTCTTGCTCCGACTTAGTTTGAAACCCTTATTCTCCAATGTTTGTCGCCATACTTCCAACTTTGCTTTAAGACCTGATTGCGTCTCATCAATCAATACAATATCGTCAGCAAACATCATGCACCACGGTATATCGTCTTGAATTGACTTCGTAAGTTCATCCATGACTATGGCAAATAAGAAAGGACTCAAGGCCGATCCTTGGTGCACTCCGATAGTAATAGGGAACTCTTCAGTCCTCCCTACACTAGTACGAACACTTGTAGTACAATCCTCATACATATCCATGATGATGCTGATATACTTGCGTGATATGCCTTTCCTAGTTAAGGCCCACCAAAGAACTTCTCGAGGTACCCTATCATATGCCTTTTCTAAGTCAATGAACACCAAATGCAGATCCTTATGAGCATCTCTATACTTCTCCATAAGTTGACGAAGAAGGTGAATAGCCTCAGTTGTTGAGCGACCAGGCATAAAACCGAATTGATTCTCTGAAATCTTCACAGTCCTTCGAAGTCTTTGCTCAATCACTCGCTCCCAAAGTTTCATGGTGTGACTCATAAGCTTAATCCCTCGATAGTTGGCACATTCTTGTACATCACCTTTATTCTTAAATAAAGGGATAAGAGTACTCTTCCTCCAACTCGTTGGCATCTTGTTGTTTCTCTAAATCATGTTGAAGAAACTTGTTAACCACTCGACGCCTCTCTCTCCCAAACTTCTCCAAGCCTCGATCGGTATGCCATCTGGCCCCATTGCTCTTTTCCGTCCCATCTTCCTCAGAGCTTCTTTAACTTCCGTTGTTTGGATCCTTCTCACAAAATCACGGTTAACCATACAATCTGGTATGGACAAATCGCCGATATCTTGCGTTTTGTTCCCGTTGAATAGTGTATCAAAGTATGACCTCCACCTCTCTTTTATCTCTCCGTCGTCCATTAATATCCTCTGATCAACATCCTTCACACACTTAACTTTTGCAATATCTTGAGTTCTGCGATCACGAAGACGAGCAAGTCTATAAATATCTAGTTCTCATCACTCCAATTTGTCCCCAACTTTTTGTAGCAATCTCTTTTGTTCCTTATGGCTTGTTTCACCTCATCATTCCACCAAGATGTGTCCTTTTAGGTGGTCGACATCCTTTAGATTCTCCAAGTACCTCCTTTGCCACTTTGTTAATGGTCAACTCCATGGATAACCACACATCATCCACCTGTGTTTCATTATCAATACGTCATACATCTTCACCGACCATTTTGTGTGTAAAGCTTTGTTGAAGATCTCCCTCTAGCCTCCACCACTTTATCTTTGGCTCCACTTGTTGTTTAACTTGTCTTCTATGGTTCTTACCTCGAAAGTCAAGCACAAGCAACCTATGCTGAGTGACAACACTCTCACCTGGAATAACCTTACAATCAGTGTAGCTAGTTCTCCTAGTGGTCCGTACTAAGAAGTAGTCAATTTGGGTACTATTAGCTCCACTTTTATAAGTTACAAGGTGAGAGTCTCTTTTCTTATACCAAGTGTTCATTATAGCCAACTCATACGTCAAGGCAAAATCCAAAATGTTCTTTCCCGCCTCATTCCTAGTGCCAAAACCATGTCTGCCATGAATATTCTCAAAGTCATCACGACTCGAGCTCACATGCCCGTTGAGGTCACCTCCTATGATCAACTTCTCTCCCCTTGACACTCGTCGCACCACGTCTTCAAGATCTTCCCAGAACTGTTGAGTTGTAGATGCATCCAATCCCACTTGTGGTGCATAGGCACTTACCACAGACACAATCTCACCTCTTATCACCAATTTAATGCTCATGATGCGATCGTTCTTCCTGAAGACTTCTACCACATCCTCAACATAGTCACGCGCCACAATAATGCCTACCCCATTTCTCGTCTTATCTCTCCCCGAATACCACAACTTAAAACCTCCGGGATTAATCTCGCGTGCTTTCTGTCCAACCCATTTAGTTTCTTGCACACACATAATGCTGATATTCCTTCTGCTCATAACCTCGACTACCTCGGAGGATTTCCCTGTAAGAGACCCAACATTCCATGTCCCAAAACGCAATCTAGCATTCCACCTTCTGTTCTTAGCCCCATCTCGGACCCCACCATGCCCTTGCATATTTGACATCATCCCCGGGCAATGGGATGACGCGCCGCTTCTGGGCGGCGACCTAGCAACCTTAGCATTCTTATCACCACACCCAGGTCTATCAAGTGTAGCGCGCCCTTGCATATTTGACACCACCCCCAGGCGGAGGGATGACGCATCACTTACTGGTGACGACCTAGCATTAGCGATTTTCATATTTCGATTCATGTCATGTGATGTGACTAGGTGATACTGTTGGCCGTCACACGCCTACCACAGCACCCTCCTCCTTTATCCTGGCTTGGGACAGGCATGATACCAAAAAAATGATATCATGGCGGAGTTGATAAATTTTAAAATGTAAAATAAAAAGAGAAGAAAGAGTAAAAAGAGTCAGGGAAGGGCGGAAAGATAGAGAGGACCCAAAGATAGTCAACAAAATTTCTGGAACATGAATTGCCAAAGGTCTCTCAAGCAAGATAGTCAACACCCAGAGGCTGAGAGGCGCTAATGACGGATGCCTGTGGTTATTAATATGACAAAGATATTTGGTTTTCGCTCAAATTTCTTGGGTTCAAATACCGAAGTACGTATGTGTATGGGCCTGGCTCGTATGACATTTTTGTTGCAAAAACATCATTAACAATTACTCTGTTTTACTTGGTCTTTTCTTATTTCCCATTCTGTATTTACTCCGGTTCTACTCCTGCAGAGGTGGGGCATTATTAAGAAGCAACAAGGTCCCTTGGTTGGGAACCAATCAAAACTCTCAGAAATTCATTTGGCTCATCAAGCAGTTAATCTGTCTCTTGATGTGCCTATCAGGGATAATCCGAAATCAGCAGCTTGTTCAATCATTAGCGGTAATTCTTTCAACTTTTTATAATAGGATATTGTAGAAATATTTAAGAATTCAAGGTGTCGATGTGTCATCTTGTGTATGTAAATTGTCCGAGGTATTCTGATATAAAGTTCCTTTAAATGCTTGATCAGACTTAGATATGGTGGAATCAGATTTTATCAAATGTTTTATACAAAAAAAGATCAGAATCTGATCCCCTAAGGGACCTAAACGCATCATTTCCTAAAGTTTTTTGTCTCTTTTTATTCTTTTTAGCTTTTTTTACTTGGGCTAGATGATTCTATGCGCCATTTTATTGTAGGATTGTTTTCTTCCCCTTGTGCTCCCATCATTGTTAGCTTTGACTAATCCAATTCAATATGCAAACAGAGGGCGGAAATGCAAATGTTGCATCCAACTTTGGTGCATCAAGTGTGTCATCAAAGAAAGGACAGCCTAAGAATGCTTTCAATATCGTGCCTAGTGGAGGTTTTGTAAACAAACCATCTCTACCTGCCAACACAAATGCATTTCTGAGTAACGTGCGCTTTGCCCATACTAACTTACCAACTCATTCAATATCCTTATTAAGTGCCTCATGAAATGAAACTGAACAGGTGCAACATCATTCTGCAAATTTGGCCTCACCTAACCTAGTCAGTATGGTCTGCGGTCTTAAAGCTTCAACGAAGGTGGCCTCAACTGACACTCAAACAAATCATGTTGCTGAACTTGGCATAAAAACTTTGGAAGATACCGCAGCTCTTTCTGGCTTGGAAATTGCATCATTAAATGAAGCTAGTTGCCCGGGCTTTCCTTTCAGAAAAGACCAAATTGCTGCTTGTGTGAGAAATTCACTGTTGGAGCATGATGAAGGGAAGCAAATTGCTATTCCAGGGGAGCCAGCAAGAGAGGAAAATGAAAAACATAGTTTTTCAGATGACAAACTCAAGGAGAACAGTAAAGGGATTCATAAAGCTTTAGTTGACTCTATTGCTCCAAGATTAAATAGTCAAAGTCAAACAGAGAAACCTAAAATTGTTATGTCCTTCAATAATGGAAACCACGCAAAAAGAAGCTGTTCATCAAAGACGAATAAGGCCGCAACTGATATTTCTCTCAATGATGAACCATGCTGGGGCCGAGTGTAGAACAAAAAATAACAACAGTGCATGCTCGAAGAGAAAATGACAAATGGTGTGCTGAAGGACGTGTCAAGTTTGATTGTTTATTTAAAAAAGGAGTAAATGGAGTATTTTTACCCAAGCTGTACATAATGTTTGATTGTTAACCCCCCACCCCCCACTCCAAACACACACATGCGGTCAGGGTCAGGCACACTTTACGTATCACTTTGGGTTTGTACATGATGTATAGTGGTGTCATCTACATTGTGTAGGTTCTTGAAATTTTGAATTGTTTCCTATTTAATGATAACATGTGAGTGGATGGCTAGCTATGAATCTTATAGGTATTGGAATTTGGAATGGATTTAACTGCAAACTTGAAGCTGTATAAGATTCAAGATTTTGAGAGCGGGGTCACATGCATAGGCCCCGGTGTCTTTAAGTTTGAAGATAATCTTGTCTTTTCCCACTTTATGTAATAATAATAATATGCCACAAGGAAAGAACCCTCTTGTGTTGTGGTAATTTTGCAGCTAGTTAGTTTAGACCACAGTAATAGAGAGGGAAAATAAAAACTGAAATCTATTTAGGCCTTGGTAATTCACTGTACTGTTTCTGCAGTGCTGGACTGACACATGCAAAGAGTGATGACCTCTGCTTCTGCTTCTTCAACTTCACTCCAAACAAGAAAGATCTCAAGGGAATTTTAGACTGAGAGCTTTTATTGTCTCTCCTTAGTCCAAGTTCATCTAGCTCTTGGAGAGTCCTCCAAACCTCTGCCTGCAGCTTCTCGACACGCTTAGCCCCACCATGTAATTCACATGCTACCTTCTTGTTCTCGCGTTTCATGATAAGAATCTCACCATGTAATTTTGCAGCTTGACAGACGCTCAGATCATTACCTTCTTCCCGAGGGCCCTCCTGAGAAAACCTGTTTATCTCTTCTTTGAGGTTGCAAAGAGATGACAGCCTGTTCTGCAAGTCATCTTTCAGCACTGCACTATGTTCTAACCATAGCGTTAACTCGGTCTGAATCTCTTTCAAGTGCCTGTATATAGGTCGGATCTCAGAGAGTTGTTCTAGCGGTTTGCTCTCCAGCTTCTGTTTGTTTGGCCTTTTCTTCTGCAGTTCGTCCTGCAAGTCTTTGACAGCACTCTGGAACTTCCTTATCTGATGGAAAGAAGTGCTGTAGCGGAGCCAAAATTCAATGTTTTCTTCCAACAATTCATCGATGTCTGTATTTATCTTTTCTTCAATGCTGTTCATCTTAAGATCCTCATACTCTTGAATGCTAGATAGCTTCAAATGCTCTCTCGATGTTGATCCTTCTCTTGCAGGATCAGCTCCCGTGATTGGAACATCCAAATATTCAGAAAGAGTTTTTCTGTGCACTTCCTGACGCTTTGTGTTATCATCTTTAGTCTCGAAGCCAGGTAATGTTGTGCTTTCACTTGACTTTAGAGCTTCCGCTTGTTCCTCATTGAGTGCGCTTAGATTCTTCAAAAGAGATTGAACCTCTGCATCCTTTAAGGCTAAGGAATTTCTCAGTATTTTTATCTGGACTACGTATTGAAAGTGGGCAGCCCTCCTCCTCTTTTCTGACTCATTAAGCTTCCTCTTTGATTCCTTGTAATTTCTAAGGACCGAAATGTACTCCTCAAGTAGAAGCTTGTCTCTCTCATCTAAGCCATTTACAAACAATGCTCTCCAATTTGGTTCACCATCATCTGCACCATATTCGTCTTGCCCCACAACTGTTCTTAAATCGTGATGAATTCCTGCAAAAGAATATTGGTCAGGACCAGTTAATGGCATTAAAATAAGTCATTTGAGTTTTTCACAATTTTTTCCCTTTGACTATAGTGACAGTCAAACTTTTGATACATTTTTTTTTGAAATTTTCCACTTTTAATCCATTGACTCATATGGTACCAACCATGGAATTTTTCCATTTTAGTCATTTAGATATTGTAAGTTGTAATGAAACAAAAAAAACTATTGGAACAATGAGACTTTTGGTTTTCGAAATATATTTGGTCCTCACAATGGTCGGAGGGCCAAAAGTGTCACTGTCACTTGGAATTAAAAGTGGAAAAATTAAAAGACAGTATCAACACTATTTCTATCACAATAGTTAATTCTCACAATAACTAGAGAATTAAATGTGAAAATTCCTTAGATGGGCATACATTACCATCTTTCATTTGTTTCTCTTTCGGTGATTCATTCCCAGAGATGGCAGAAGTGCTATGATCAGTGGCTACACCGTCTTGTGTTTGAAACCCCTTTATTGAAGTTGGATTAGTGTATGGAACAATAATACTACTTCCTTCTTTCTCAAACTTAACATTTGTCTCTTGATCTCCAGACCCTGATGAATTGCCATCAAGAACTGTGGCATCATCTGAGGGTTCCCCTGAAGAAGCCGCATTACCAGGTTTGACTGAAATAGCATCTTTGACCTCTTCATCTGGCAACACATTCAGTAGTTTTCCTGAGAGGTCATCAACTCTGCAACTTGCTTCAGTGATGCGCGTATATATGTACTTGCTTTGCTCAGTGATGCTTTGATTTAGGTTCTGAACTTTCTGAAGCTCTTCTTCCAGTTCTCTGATCTTATTGCCCATTGTTTCTGAATCTTTGAGCAAAGACTCCTTCTCCTCTTCTGTTCTTTGAAGATTAGCATGGAGATCGTTTGCTTCTTCTCTCAATCTGTTCACCTGAGCATTCTGATCCACCACTGCACTTTCTAAATGTATGATCTTATCCACAAGCTCATCAACCTTTTCTGCTAGACCGGACATCGTAAGGTGGGTGCTTGTACCACCAGCTTGTATCTCTTCTTTTATCTTTACACGCAATGACTCTATATCAACCCTTTCATGTTGTGTATTAGTATTCTCGATTTTCTGATTATTATTACTACTATCATTATTGTTATTATTATTATTACTATTATTATCTGATTTGATGGACTCCTCCATATTAGGTTTGACAGGCAATTTCCCCATGGGGGATGGTTGTTGGCAACCCTCAAATGTTTTGACGAGAGACTGAAATCTCAGACGTGCATCTTGAACCTTATCGTGCTCAATCTTTGCCTCTTCGCTGATCTGCTCCTGTTGTTCATGTAAGCGATCCAATGTCTCTTGGCAGGACTTGAGTGCAGTGGATGCCATTAGAGTTCGTGCCTCGTCGTCCTCAATAACAGCGCCTATTCCAAATTCATCCTGTAGGGAGGTGACCCTTGCCTGCAACCCTGTGATTTGGTTCTCGATATCCCAATACTTAACAACACCATTTTCGTATGAACTCTTCACAAACTCTTTCTCGGTTTGTAGCGCCAAAATATGCTTCTGAATCTTATCGATTTCATTAAGCGCCTCGTCTTTGCTCAGCCCTGAGGTTGGATGTGTTGATTCAGCATCATCATTGAACTTAAGAAGCCCCTTGGTAGACATTAACCTCGACGGTTTCGCTTTCTTGTTGGCCATTGAAACAACTTCAGGAATGCTTAGCTTTGGAGCGGCAGGCAAATCCTTTGGGGAGATGATATTCCTTTCCTCTTGAGGCCTTTCAGGGCAGGTTTCGCTGCTCTCATCATCATCATCCTCCATGTCTAGTTGGACTCTTTCAGGGCAAACAGTGGCAATGGTTCTATTAGCACTCTGAAGCTCTTTTGAGATGTAATCATATCTCTCTGCTAAAGCTCTGTAGCTCTTGAAGAAATCTTCCACAAAGTTGAGAAGCTCAGGCCTTCTTCTGTAGTACATTTCTGCCCTTCTCGCGAAGGAGTCCCCATCCTCGTCTAGTATCCTCAGTATGTAGTCTACCTTCTCCTCCATATCTGCAACCAAAAAAGGTAACATAACCTTTTTTGCCTGAATCTAGTGCATGTTTTTTCCTTTAATAAACAACTTTCCCTTTTCTGCTTAATATGGGGGGTGGGGGGGGGGGGGGGGGGGGGTGGGTGGGAATCGGCCGGTTGTGGGCCAGGGAGGGGAATGAAAATTGTTAAGATTCTGTTTTAAAGACTCAAGTCGGAATGGTGGGCATATTGCTTCCCTACCAATTTCCTCTGTAGCTGGATCTGTTGTGTAAAATCAAATATTCACAGCCTGGGGAATTACAACAACATCCAAACCTTAATCCCAATATGTTTTGGGGAATTATATAAAATAAAATAAAAATTACCTTGTAAGTTCTGCTCCAGCCATTTTGATTGTTTTGTCCTGATATGACTAGCACACCACCATGAATATGCATTTCTCGCTGCTCTCTGCAACATTATCTCCTTCCTCTTCTCCCTTGATCCTTGTGTAAAAGATGTTCATTACCTTTCCGAAGATGGGATAATCATTCCCTTTTCTCTCTTAATTTCAAAACATTATAAATCAGAACATTCATCCACCAAACAAATCTGTAAAATATCTAAAATTACAAATGAACAACAACAGGAAACAAAGATTAGTTATTGGTTAGAACAAATGAACAATGTGCTTGATATTGGCCGGGTTCAGGATTAAGGCTATTTGGTCAAAGTGGGGAGGTTGCATATCTTCCTTAGACAGGCACAAATGTAGGAACCCCATTGAATTTTTGGTAGGCCAGTTGGCATGTATTTTTTTCTGTTATGTTTTTTGTTTATTTATCTATTTTTTTTCACTTACATGTATGTGGGTAGCATTATATGTATCCCGGTAATTGTGGGAAGGAATGAGATTCCCAAAAGATTAATTATTACTACGTATTATTATAATAATAATTATTATTATATTACTATTATAATTCTATTACGGATGAAATGTATAATTGGTATTTTAATTATTGGTTGTTGCGTTTTGGTAGCTCAACTCTTTAATGAATCAAATGAGTACCATAACTATACATAAATCTTTGAACTTGCAATTTTAATCAAGTTTCCGATCAAAAAATCATACGTGACGACCAAAATTTTATGCGTAAAGTCCATTGCACTTTTCTTTGGTCCATGTCATCATTATAGAGTGTTTCTACACATGGAAATTTGATTGCCATGTAGGATTTTTTGTCACAAATTTGATTAAAACTGTAAGTTAAAACATTTATGTATAATTATGGTACTGATTTGATTCATTTAAGAGTTGCAACAATACCAATAGTTAAGGTACATTTTATCCATTTCACCCTTACTATTACTACTACTACTACTATTATTACTATAATGCTATTATTACTATTATTATTATTGGTACTATTAATATTACTGTTGGGTTAATGGCTCAATGGGGATTGGCCCATCAAACCTTAAGGCTCATGAGGATGGGGACCTTGCCAAGAGGGGCCCTAATGCACTGAGGGAGATGGCGGTGCTTACTAACATGATTCCCCACGAACTCAGGAGGGGCCCTAATGCACTGAGGGAGATGGCGGATATCATCCGCCATTTGGCGGACGAGTGGGAGGCGGAGCGGGTGTACTTCGCTAACACCGAGCGTACCCGGTCTCCCCGATCCGCACTATGCAGACGCTTGGCGAGCGTACAAACGAGACCGCGGAGTCTCGCCCCTCGATCCAGACTAGGATCGTCACGAATGTCCACTCTCCAGATATGGGGGGAGCTGGGGGAACCAGGCACAGGGTCTTCAGAGGTGCACAACAGCACGCGGTCCGGAACCTCACCTCGGTGATGCCTCGAAATGATCACGCGGCCCGAGAGCAAACCCCCGTGATCAACGGGTTGAGGCAGGAGGCCCGTGATCATGGCGTTGACGTCGTACATACGGGGAATGCCATAGCATTAGTGACCCTCGTAAACCCAATCACCGAACCTCGAGATGCGATGCTCGTGGAACTCGAGAGACAGATCAATGAACTGAGCCGACAGGCGGATACTGACCCAGCTCAGCCCAGGTTTGCACTATTCTCTCCCTTCTCCGCCAGAATCACGGCGGCAGAGATTCCAAGGGACATTCGACCGTCCGGCGCCCTGACTTATAATGGGGCAGGGGACCCGAAAGCCCACCTACTTTCCTTCTAGGGAGAACTCTCCATGCTGGGAGCCTCCGATGAAGCCATTTGCCGGCTCTTCTTCAGCACCCTCAGAGGGCCGACGCAGGAATGGTTCATGCAGCTCAAGCCCGGATCCATCGACAACTTTGAACAATTGTCCAGATAGTTCATGTCGCAGTTCATCTCCAGCTCCACTCCAAAGAGGCACTTCAGCTGGTTGATGAGCGTCCGCCAAGGGAAGGAGGAAACCCTTTCCACCTTCCTCATATGGTGGAGGGATGAAACCCTGAAAGTCGAGGACCTCACTGAGTGCACGGGCATCACCCTCTTCACCAACGCACTTGTAACCGGGGATCTGTACATGGATTTGAAGAGGAATCCCGAGAGCAGTTATGCCGAGGTGCTAGCTAGGGCATATAAATATGCGGCGGTCAAGGAAGAAATTGCCCGACGGGATGAGATGTTTGTCCCTGCAAGCCGCAAAATGTCAGACCGTCTGGGGACAGGGCCATCAACCCCCCCCCCCCCCCCCCCCCCCCCGAAACAAAAAAGAAGAAGACGAGCGGTGGCTACGCCCCTTGGGGAACCCAGGGCCCTCCAGACAATGCCCGTCGGGAGTGTACCGGACTACCCCTTTGGCATCCACAGTGAGCCAAATCTTTGAGGCCATCAAGGATGAAGGGATGCTTGAAGTGCCGCCCGTCACCAGAGGCCCAATGGGAAAGAACCTCAACGCCTATTGCGAATATCATCGCAAGGAAGGGCACCGCACGGATCACTGCAACAGCCTGAGGATGGCCATTGAAGGACTTATTCGGAGGGGCTACCTCGGAGAGTTCACAAGGGGACCGACCACTCAAAACAGGAAACAACCGAACCAGGAACCATTCACGTGGCGCAGGGACGACCGGCGGGAGGCAGAGGTCCAAGACGTCGATTATCGCCACGCCGATAAACGCCTGGAGGGATCCCTCAGACCGGACATCCACAAGAAGAAATTGGAGATCAAGTGATCTTCGGGGTGCAGGGTATACGCCCGTTGGACGTTCTTCCTCCACAACATGGATGGACATGTTGCTGGCATGTGGAACGTAGAGCACGTGAAGAAAATCCTATCAATGGCACCATTTTGCTAAATTCCTTCCTCCTAAAAAAACAAAAAACAAAATATGGAAAGAGGGAGCCATAACTCCTAAGGTCAGGGAATCCCAAAGAGGACAAACCTGCTCTCCATCTAAGAACACTAACCATTGCGGTACGGCCTCAGGACTTAAGCTGCCGGTGCGGTGGGAAGGTGGATGAACGTCGGATAAACCGTTCTCCATCTAAGAACACTAACCAGTGTGGTACGGCCTCAAGGCTTAAGCTGGCGGTGCGGTGGGAAGGTGGACGAACGTCGGATAAACCGTTCTCCATCTAAGAACACTAACCAATGCGGTACAACCTCAGGGTTTAAGCTGCCGGTGCGGTGGGAAGGTGGATGAACGTCGGATAAACCGTTCTCCATCTAAGAACACTAACCAGTGCCGTACGGCCTCAGGGCTTAAGCTGCCGGTGCGGTGGGAAGGTGGACGAACGTCGGATAAACCGTTCTCCATCTAAGAACACTAACCAGTGCGGCACGGCCTCAGGAGTTAAGCTGTCAGTGCAGTGGGAAGGTGGACGGACATCGGATAAACCGTTCTCCATCTAAGAACACTAACCAGTGCGGTACGACCTCAGAGCTTAAGCTGCCGGTGCGGTGGGAAGGTGGACGAACGTCGGATAACCGTTCTCCATCTAAGAACACTAACCAGTGCGGTACGGCCTCAGGGCTTAAGCTGCCGGTGCGGTGGGAAGGTGGGCGAACGTCGGATAAACCTATCCTCCATCTAAGAACACTAACCAGTGTGGTACGGCCTCAGGGCTTAAGCTGCCGGTGTGGTCGGAAGGTGGACGAATGAAACAATTGAAACCCAAAAGCAGGAAACCCATTCGTCGCCAAAGACCGTCGAGAAGCCAAGGTAGAGGCTGAGGGTCTGGAGATAAGCACCTCCACTTCAGAGGCTGAGGGTCTGGAGACAAGCATCTCCGCCTCAAAGACATTTCAAAAAAGCACAAACGTATAACAACACACTACAAAGACATCTCAGGGAAAATGCACAGACAACTAAAAATGCACAAACATATAACAACACACTACACAGACATCTCAGAAAAACCATAAAGACAACTATAAAATCCACAAACGTATAAAAACAAACTACACAGACATCTCAGGAAAACTATATAGACAACTAAAAAATGCACAAACATATAAGAACACACTACACAGACATCTCTGGAAAATCATAAGGACAACTCTGCTACGTACAACTGTATAACAACAAACTACACAGGCATCTCAGTAAAACCATAAACTGAATTAAAACTAAAAATCAATTATACATAGTTACTATCTCATTGAAACATTTCAACAAAGACTTAATAGGCATAAAAGTGAGCTACAACAGTTGAAAAAAATTTTAAATTATAACAAATTCATACTGATATTACAACTGATATTACATTGTAATAAACATTCATCAACATCATCGCAACATATTTTGTATAAATAAAATTAAAAAGGGGAAAATATAACCCTAAATGCACAAAAAATATGAAATAAAGTATTACCTCATGAATAATATTTGAGAGAGAAAAGTAGATTCAATTGGGCGCAGGGAAGGGGAGAAAAGAAAAAAGAAAAGAGGAAAAGAGGGAGAAGAAGTTGGGCGCGGGGAGGGAGAGAAAAGAAAAAAGAAAAGAGGAAAAGAGGGAGAAGGAATTTGGGCGTAAGGAGGGAGAGGAAAAAAGGAAAAGAAAGGAAGGAGGGGGAGGGGTTAATACGGTAAGGGGGTTGGGGCTTTTTATGATGTGTACACTGTCGTGTAACCCGTCGTGTACTCATAGCATTTTTGTTCATCATCATTTTTGTGAAATTATTCATTTTTGTTGCAATGCACCTGCTTTTAAAAAAATAGACAAAAAATATATGGTATTCTACCTTCTTCCCCATTTTGTGTTTTTTTTTTCTATTTTTTTCTATTTTTTTATAAAATTATTAAGGATAAAATAATTTAAATATTTCAAACTTTGAAGGGTGTGAGGTAAATACTAAATACCTTGAATTTACATACTACCTCCGTCTCAAAAAGAGTTGTAAATTAGACTTTTCTTAGTCAAACAGTCTTGTTTTGTTCATTTAATTAGGATGTCAATTTTTAATTATATTCTAATTTGGAGTTTACAACTCTGAAGAGATTTTAATGTAGTTTTGATTATGTAAATTCTATTTATTAAAAATTGAATTAATTATCCATACAAAGGGTTGACTTTTATTATTGATTGACAAAAAATTGTTGACTTTGCAAAACAAATTGGGACGGAGGGAGTATGTAATATGTGTGTGTGTGTGTGTGTATGTGTGTGTGTGTGTGTACACACACACACACACACATACACACACACACATATTACATACTCCCTCCGTCCCAATTTGTTTTGCAAAGTCAACAATTTTATATACACACACACACATATTACACACATATTACACACACACACACACACACACACACACACACACACACACACACACATATATATATATATATATATATATATATATATATATATATATATATATATATATATATATATATATATATATATATATATATATATATATATAGGGGTGATATCACATACAAATCATACTTAATTTACTAATCTACAAACTCAATATGCAACACTTTGAGCTTCAATATGCAGTACAAATAATGTAAAGATGCACTCTTCGAACTTCAATATGCAATACAAATAATCTAAATATGAAACTGATATTTTATGGCTTAAATAATATGAAACACTTTGAATTTCAATGTTCAATATAAATAATGTAAAGATAATTTGAATGAGAGGACTAGTTTAATTTGTATGTGATACCACCCCTGCATCTTTACACATTATTTTTAATGCATATTGAAGTTCAACGTGCTGCATATTATTGAGTTTGTTGGTTAGTATTTTAAGCATGATTTGTATTTGATCTCTTATATATATATATATATTGAATTTTTAGTTAAAATGTTTTGTGAATAAACTAGACTTGATGAAAAACATGTCATAAAAATTTCATCAAAACTTCCACTGGGAAGAGGCTGAAACGCCACCGTCCGGACGGCGGTTCCGGTAAGAACGGATCTTAGGAGAGAAACGAGAACGAATCTGGACCGTTGGATTGAATTATGTGCAACTGAATTGTGCATTTGGTGAAACCGAAATGTGCATTAGATGATATTGAAATGTGCAGAATTAAAATTTAAACTCACATGTGCATTAGGTGAAACTAAAATGTGCAGAATAAAAGATACAAAAATAACATCACATCGTACCTTTTATTCTGCACATTTTAGTTTCATCTAGTGCACATTTCAAATTTACCTAATGCATAATTTAGCTTCACATAATGTCACTACATTGTACCATTTGTGCCGCACATTTCAATTTCACCTAATACACATTACAGCTTCATCTAATGTACATTGAATTTCACATAAAGCAAATCTAACGGTCCAGATTCATTCCCATTTTTCTCATAAGATCATGTCCTATTTGAACCAAAACCTATATATATATATATGTTGTGCAGAGTGTTTGTATAAAACTGCTGGAGTACAAAGACAATATAATGTACAAAAAAGAGATATAATGTACAATATATTGTACAATATAAGATCATCATCATTACCTCAGTGCCGGAAAGACTCTAACCTACGGTGAGGTAAGGGGGCGTCGAATGTACGCAACCTTACCTCTGTACTAAAGTACAAAGATATTGTTTCTTGATGACCAATAGAGAAAATCGCTTAAAAAATTGCATAGATTGACTGACACTTTATAACAAAGAAGCACACACAGTTTATTATTGAGTCATGTTGCTTTATTCCATCATATTGTCAAGCCAAAAAATAGTGAGTTTTTAACTCTATTGCAAATAATGGAAATAAAGTGCAGATATAAGATGAAAAAACAAAATGGTTCACTATTACTATAATACTATCTTTGCATCATTGCCATGTATCAATTTTGAAGTCATCATTCAGCGTAATTTGTACAATTTTAACAAAAATTGCAGCTATGAAACACTGTTCGGTTATTCTTGATTGTATAATTTTGTAGTCCTAAGGGGTGTTTGGATCTGATTCTGCTTCAACTTCTGCTTCTTGAAGAAGCAGAAGTTGGAGTGTTTGTTTGAAAATGCAGAAGTATTTTTGGTGTTCATCCTAATTTACTCCTAGAATTGGTGTCTTTAGAAGCTGAGGGAGACCAGCTTCTGAAAACTAATTTTGATTCTTTTTTAAAAAAGAAGCAGAATCAGTTCCAAAACACCCCTAAATTCCTAATTGAGGTCATAAAGAGGGAAAGACTTTAGTTATAAATAATTTATGCAAAAATGTCATCAAATAAACAAACATGTTGATTTTTTTTTTGAACTTTATGGACGTGTTTGGTACATTACTACATTTAGGTTAGTTTTTTTTTTATTTTACAATAACTTTTTTCTTGCTTTAATTTGCCTTAAAAGTTTATCTCAACTTGACATGAATTAACCACAGTTCCTTTTACATATCGGGTGGTTGTCATCATCTCGATTTAACGATCTCTAATGTGATCAAATCTTCTTCAACAGAGATTCATTTTCAGGTATGATTAAAAAATGTACTCTATTTTCTAGCTCAACAAGAAAATGGGAAATTCGTAAAGAGTACGCACAAGATAGAATGTACAGTACAATTTATTTTGACATATAAATGCACATTACATTCGATAAAAGATACCAAATTCAAGAGGGATACATGGATTTTGAGGTCATTTTAGACCTGGCCATGTAACATTTATTTACTGATCAAGTCATCAGTAATTATTACATACAATCTTCATTTACTTTTCCTAGCTGCACTCCAGTCTTTTCATTCTCATTGACCTAACTAGTTAAAAGGGGAGCCTGCATGCAGATGGTAGATATATATGCATTTATATCTTGAACTAATTCCGCAAATATGTGCGTTAAAGATAATTAATCAAAAGGAAAAAAAGTACTACGTACTTCACCCATATGAGTTATTTGAGGACTTGAAGTGTTTTAGGCTAGTAATCTTAAATAAAAGTTGTTCTGTAAGGATATATGCCAAAACTTGTGCTTCATATATACTTTTTTTAAACGATAGAGGGAGTGGTTGTAAATCAGGTTTGAGATGATTTTGTGTTTGTCTAAATCTACTCTACTTTGTTAAGTATGGCTGAAATTAATCTAATTAAAGTGATAACATCATTTAAACCCTAACAATAACTTAACAAGCACCGTTTTAAAATTGGCGCTACACGGCCAGCCCTAGGGGAAACGCTATGCAGCCATCTCCCATCTCCTACGAGATCTAATTTCCACAGGTGGGCGTAGCTCAACTGGTAGCAAGGGAGTGCCACAAGGGTTGAGTCCCGGGTTCGAATCCTGCCAACTGCGATGAGGGATTACTATGCTAAAAGTGCATAGGGCCTCTGCAAGTAACGGAGACAAAGCCCCACTCTCTACCTATCAGATTGAGATTATAGTCCAATTTACATTCTCCCAACATACCGTCCGGTCGGGGTTGGGGGCCCTCAGGGATGGGGTGTCTATCTGATGGAGTATATGGGCCTGGACCCCAGGACCCACATACTCAGGAGAACGGAAGGTACCACGACCACCTGGTGGAACCCTCGTCGGCTAGATGACCCTCATCGGCCAGAAAGAAGTCTACTCAGAATGTGATACAGAAGCCAGGAAGAGCCGGGTGACCTCGTCGGCCACGCCCTCGTCGGCCATAGACAGTCTCCAGAACAGAATTTACACTTAATCTTTTCTATGTACTTTGTATCCGGCCCATTAGTGGCCCTATTGTAGATGGGCCTCCCAAGCCCAAGACTTGGGAGCTCAGCCCTAATTTTTCCTATATATACCTCCTCTGGGAGTAATTGTAAGGGTTCACAATTCATTAATACAAAGCAATTATACTACTTCTCTCTCTAGCTCTCACTTCTCTCTAGACTTATAGTCTATCACTATCCTTTTTTTACGAGATCTAATTTCCTAACCTTCTCTACTTCAATCAACAAGAGTTTTGAAAGATGGTGATCTTATCTAAGCATTGAAGCATCAAATTAAAGATTTTTCTATGCTTCTGCTCTTTTTTAATTTCTACTTTCGAGGGTTTTGGCCGTCCGACATGTTCTTTCACCGAGAGTTTTGTCTGCCTCATGTGAGCGTATGATATGTTTTTCTCCTATCGATGTCTGGAGGTTGTGGATTTCTCATCGATGTAATCGATCTGGTGATTTTTTGTTGTTCATGGTTGGCAAAGCTTTTCGACCTTGTCGTTATGAGGCTTCAATTATTCGCCCCCCACCTGAACCACCGCCTCGCTCCGGGAAAACGAAAGCGCTCAAGTGGATCTCTTTTTCAGTGGTTGGTCAAACCGATGATTCAGACAATTAAGACTCGGTAAGGCTTTCTTTGTTGGTTGCTGGTCAAATCAATTCTCTTTCCGGTGGCTAGTGAAGCCGGATATTTTATTTGTAATTTTTTAATTTTTATTTGGAGTAGCAAGTGCATCAAGGCTGTTAGACTAAACTACATTATTGCGAGGTTAGCGATCTGAAAGGATTCATGAGATTTTTTCCATTCAAAGTCTATCCCATTGTAGCTTTAGGCTATTCATTTACTTTTTTCTTTGCTATCATTTGATATGAATAAATTAGGTATTTGATTTTATAAAAAATAAAACTAACAATAAAAAACTAGGTTCTTAATCTAACTTACCCTAGCTTGAGTGAGGTGTCCGATAGATAATCTTCAGCAGGAGGAGCGCTAATACAATTGCAGACGTTGTTGATGGATTCTGAAGAAATGCCTTCTTCCCCATCAGCAGTGGCAGGAAACAATTTCCCATTACTCACCTGTTGTTAATTATACTAATCTGTCAACTAAATTAAAGTTTATTCCATATAATTGATCGAACACAAATATAGAAAACATTCTTTACTTTTTGTTTCAGTTTCTTGTTTTCTTCCAATAGCTCTTCACCCTGCACACATGTTGAGCAAAAAGAAATAATTACCAAAACGATTATTATACCAGTATCCCACTCGTGCATTGCATTTGCATACTCCGTATAATATAGTATGCAGTTTTTTACTAGCTAAACTAAAGATGTACGTGAAATAAAAGTGTGACTTTTATATGCCATGTTTATAGAGGTAACCAGGGTCGTCTGATGAATTTGGACGTCTCGGTTCCGAAGAAAGAATACAAAATTTAACAATGAAATAAAAATAGACTAAATATTTTAGTGAAATACGTAGTACTATAAGTTTTATAATATTTAAAGTACACATACAAATCATACAATCTAAAAGTTATACACATTTTGAAATCTGGAATAATACATAACATCTAGATAAATCAACTTATAACTAGTACTACATAAAAGTTGATCCCGATGTCAAACACCTATTGCACGTCCTAAAATGTGGCCCTAATGATAACGACTATACACTTTAGTAATAATGGTTATGTTCAACATTACACAACACTGGTCATGATCATATATTCTTAGTAAATTTAGCCAATTTTTGTTCATAAATTTTACTTCTATTTCAATAATATTTTAGAAAAATACCCTCCTTATAATAACAATTTGTACGGAGTATAATAATGCCATTGAATAATGAGGGTTTTGGTGTTGCAAACCTTCCTCTGGAGAGCAGCAATCTCGTTCATAACTCGTTCAGTCTAAAATAACACATTAATGAACATAATAATTGTTGTAAAAGTTAGTTTTTATTTCTTTAAAAAGATACGGAGTATTTAACAACCCTCCCCCAAATCCCCCACTCAAAAAAAGAAAGAAAAAAAGAGAGAACTAGTTAACCTTAGCTTCAAGTACACGATTTAATCCAAATTGGATCTTTTTTTCTAACTTCTGCAGCTCTTCTATACTCAATTCTTGAAGTTCTTCACCCATCAACATCCTGTCATCATTTGTTTTAATTAAAATAACCTAATATATATGAGCTAGGTTAAATTTATTGCTGTCATATTAATTAAACTAGCATCCATTTATTATGAATAATCGAAAGCTGGATTGCTATAACAAGCCTATCATTTTCATATACATTTGTACCTGGATTCGTGAGTCTTGCCAGCAATCTCCTTCCTCAATCTCATATGAGCACTATTCTCTAGCTAAAAGCATAGAGAAAACATACATACTTCAATAATGACCAAATTAAATTAATAAGCACACGCATGAACATTATAATATGTCTGTATACATTAAAACATATATATACATATACATATTAATAATGTTCAAATGAGAAATGTGAATGAATCTTAGTCATTGGATTCGACTATGTTGCAGTAAAAGAGGTTTATGTTGCACTGAAATATGCAATTATGCGCGATGACATTTTCATAAATACTTTTAAAAAACCGTTTTATGCCTCTTGAGGCAACAAGAAGCCGTTTTAGTGCAAAAACATCAAATCCTAGCGCATCATCTTTGCCAAGGGGTCTTGTTAATCTTATTTGTATTGTTTCATATTTTTTGGATGTCAACGAAGGGATTTAGTTATTTAAATAGTTTGGTGTGTTCTTAACTTCTTATTATAAACCAAATTACATGTATCATAAGAATTACCAAGCCAAATATATTGTTGGACTTACCTCTACATGATATTGGTAACATATGAATTACAAATATAGTATAGTTGAAGTACTACCTGAAGTTCAAGAGACGGTGGATGATTTGTTTTGTCATTATCATCACTAGATTGCAACTTATACTTTCCAATGACTTCCTTCATGCTTCACAGTATTACAAAGAAAAATATGTTAACTCATGAAATTGTTTAGCCCGCATCTTCTTAATTAATATAACCATGTAGCCGGTTGATGCAATTAACTATTGCATGATTATCTTATAATAGAATACCATAGTTTAAGAAAAATGCTTTTGTATATTCAAACAATGAATTGATCAAAATAGGAGCAAGATAAAAAAAAAGGAGCAAGATCACAGATGGACAACTTTTGAGAATAGGACAAATTAAAGTACATAGTATGTTTTATTCCCAAAATATGACTTATGTATTCATATTAAAAGAATCATCATACATCATCATTACCGAGTGCCGCAAAGGCTCCCACCTACAGTGGGGTACGGGGGGTCGGACGTATGCTGTCTTACCCTTGTACTAAAGCACAGAGACTGTTTCCGGATGACCCATATTGAGAATCGCGTTGAAAATTGCATGGACTAACTGTTGCTTCATAACAAATTAAAGAAGCGCAGACATTTTAATGACACATTTTACTTTATTCCATCATATTCCCAAGACAAAAAATAGTGAGTCTTTGGCTCCATTGCAAATGATGGAAAAATCATATTAAAATAATAAAATAATAAAATGATTTCAAATTAGGAGTGAACAGATCCTATTATGGGGAAAAAGAAATCACACACTCATTGAGGAAATTTATTTGTTTTATTCCAATTTTTCTCTTAGTAGTATGGGCATATAGCCAGGTATTAGATGCTTTTAAGTTTTAACATACAAACATCGATGAACCTTTAACTTTTGAGTTTCGAGGTATTAACGAAGAAAGAAGAGTGAAACAAAATAAACACTCATCTTCATACATGATTATGTGCACAGTTCACTACTCAAACTTTTTACCCCTTCATATTTCATACATTATATTTCCTTTAATGTGCTAATATATTTTTACTCTTGTTTGGTTGAATATGAGTATATGATGTAGGGATCTTCCACCCTCTTTCTTGGAAGTTGTCAAGAGACATCTATCACCTTTTTGGAAGAAGATTATTTGGAGATAGCTAGGAAGCTCCCTTACCATATGAATGGAAGCTTGGATGCAACTTTCTCTTGTCTCCAAACTAGTCCTATAAATAGAGTGCTCTATGTTGTTCATTAGCATCATTTTCTAAAGTGAGAAAAGTGTGTGAATGGTGAAATATACTTAGAGTGGAAGTGTATTAGTGAGGATTGATTTTTTGGAATAGTTGAGTGTGAGATTGAATAGAAGAATTTTCCAATCCCAACAAGTGGTATCAGAGTCAGGTTGAGTTTTTCATACACATTTTCTCATTTTTCAGAAAAATTTCTACATGTTAGAAAATCGTGATTTTTGAAGTTGCTCGGAATCACGATCCGATCATACCATCGGGTTCGTCTCGTCGAGGAGAAAATTCTGACATTTTCCGGCGACCGAATGGCCGCCGGCCGCCGCCGCACGCGCGCGAGTTGGGCCAAGTCGCTGCACGCGCTGCACGTACTGGCCAGAGGAAGAAGACGACCATGTCAGCTGCCACGTCATTGCCAGCACAGAGCCAGCTGTGCCAAGTCATTTGCCTGCGTGACTGCACACTGGGCTGCTCACTGCTGCCTGGACCGAACCGAATCGGTTCATACTTGTGGAGGCCGGTTCACCCATTTGCAGACCGGTTTTGGACGAGGTCAAACCGGTTCTCACCATTTTCGACCATTGTGGATTCAACGGTGAGCTCAGTTTTTTCAAATTTGGCTTCGAAAATAAGGTAAGAGATATATTGAGCGTTTTATTATGGATAAATCATCATTGGACACCATGATTGCGCTCACTTCCACGAACTACAATATGTGGAAGCCTCGGATGGAGGATTTGCTAAATTTGAGGGATTTAGTCGATCCTCTTGATAATAATGGTGCCAAAATGGATAAGAAGACGGAAGAAGAATGGACTAAGATGAACCGAAAAACTGTCGCACAAATTCGATAGTGGATCGATCATAGCGTATTCCATCATGTTGCTCAAGAACAGAGTGCTTACACACTATGGGAGAAGCTTGGTAGCATGTATCAAGCAAAAATCACCCAAAATAAGACGTCACTAATGAGGCGATTAGTAAACCACAAGTTACGAGGTGGTACTTCGGTGAATCATTTGAGCACCACCCGATGGGTTCTCAAAGATGAAAAGCAGGTGATACTACTATTGAGCTCTCTACCTGACAGCTGGGAGACTCTTTGTCACTCTCAATAATTCTGCTTCTAATGGGAAGGTGACTATGAAGATGGTCACAAATGCCCTGATGAATGAAGAAGCCCGAAGGAAGGAAGCCGAGACGGAACATTCATATGCCCTCATATCAGAAACTAACAGACGAGGTGGAGACAGAAATGGAGGCAGTAGTCGAGGTCGAGGTAGAGGCCAAGGTCAAAATAGAGGAAACTTTCAAGTTCACGGCAGATCACAAGAGAGAGGTATGTCCTTTGAAAATGATACTTGGTTTGAAGGATATTGCAATTACTGTGGTAATTATGGGCATAGAAAAAGAGATTGTAGAAAGTTTCTACGAGAGCAGCCACAGACGAGTCAAAATACTAGCCAAGAAGATGGTGCGACTATGGTTAGTTTGTCATCAGACATGTTACTCGTTTCATTTAAGGGTAGTTTTATCAGATTAACTCTTTTTAGTCCTATTTTTGCCCAATAAAACATTGTAGTCCTATTCTTGCAATTCTACCTTCTTTTAATCCTATTTAGGGAATTCTACCTATGTTTACACATAGGTACTCATGATGTTGAGTGGGTGGTTGATACAGCTGCATCATTTCACGCCACTCCACACAAAAACTTATTCACATCTTATAAGTCTGGAGACTTTGGAACTGTGAAGATGCGAAACACCAGTTTCTCAAAGATTGTTGGCATTGATGATGTGCACATAACAACCAATGTCGGATGCGCACTTGTGTTGAAAGATGTTCAGCATGTTATGGATCTTAGATTGAATCTTATCTCACGTGCATCTCTGGATCATCAAGGTTATCACAACCAATTCAAAGAAGGTAAGTGGAAGTTATCTAAAGGTTCCTTGATTGTTACAAGAGGCCCATGTAAAGTTGTGTCATCCAAGTCTCAATTCTGTTGAAGAAGAGACATCACCAAACTTGTGGCACCAGATGTTAGGCCACTTGAGTGCGAAGGAACTAACAACTCTTGCAAAGAAGGAAGTCATTTCCATGGGCAAAGGTGTTGCCCTAGATCCATGCGAGCACTATTTATTCGGGAAATAACCCAGAGTTTCATTCAATTCTACCAAGAAGAATCATTCAGAGTTACTTAGTCTTGTCCACTCTGATGTATGTGGACCCATTGAAGAGGAGTCACTTAGAGGAAGCAGATATTTCGTGACTTTCATTGATGATGCATCACGAAAGGTATGGGCTTACTGTCTGAAAAGTAAGGATCAAGTGTTTGATCATTTTAAATTATTTCATATCATCGTATAAAGAGAAACACGGATGAAGTTGAAGTGTCTACGTTCAGACAATGGAGGAGACTACATTTCCTGGGAATCCTCAGCATACTGCGTGGCATATGGAATCGGACATGAGAAGGCGGTTCCACGAACTCCACAACATAATGGTGTAGCCGAAAGAATGAACCGGACCATTGTGGAGAAAGTTCATTACATGTTGTGTATGACTAAACTACCTAAGCCATTCTGGGGTGAAGCTGTGCTGACAGCTTGTTATCTTATAAATAGGTCACCATATGTTCCTTTAAACTTTGAAGTGCTAGAGAAGAAATGGTCAGGAAGAGATATTTCTTACTCTCACTTGAAAGTGTTCGGGTGCAAGGCATTTGCACATGTGTCCAAGGAGTTGAGACAGAAGCTTGATCCCAAGTCAAACCCATACATCTTCATTGGTTATGGAGATGAAGAATTTGGATACCGATTGTGGGATCCCGAACTGAAGAAAGTTATACGAAGCAGAGATGTTGTATTTCATGAAAACGAGTTTAATGAGTGTGCTTCAAAAATCCGCAAACAACATACTCCAGAAGACGAAGTCCCTATATCAACAAACATTCCTCTCAACGATGAGGAGATGCATGATACTACTGAACAAAAGAGTGACGGTTCAGTAGGTAATGATGATGATCACAGTGATGATATTCCTCAACAGGGGGAGCCTTCATCTGAAGACGAAGCAGAAGGTACTCATGTTCGACGTTCTATGCGAGACATAGTTCCACAGAGAAAATACTCCACATCCGAATGAATACTTGTTGCCAGTGAGGGGGAGCCAACGAGCATCGCAGGAACGAGAGAAATAAAGAAAAAGGTGGAGGGGAGATTTGTAGGGATCTTCCACCCTCTTTCTTAGAAGTTGCCAAGAGACATCTATCACCTTCTTGGAAGGAGGTCTCCAACATATAAACATGGGAGAAGATTATTTGGAGATAACTAGAAAGCTCCTTTACCATGTGAATGGAAGCTTGGATGCAACTTCCTCTTGTCTCCAAACTAATCCTATAAATAGAGTGCTCCATGTTGTTCATTAGCATCAGTTTCTAAAGTGAGAAAAATGTGTGAAGAATGAAATACACTTAGAGTAGGATTGTATTAGTGAGGATTGGTTTTTTGTAATAATTGAGTGTGAGAGTTTGCTCCTCCTATTGTAATTCTGTTCTTGATATTGAATAGAAGAATTTTCATATCCCAAGTGATAGAGTATATTCTAGAGAGAAGTGAGAGCTAGAGAGAGAAGTTCAAGTAAATGCTTCAATAAATGATTTCCAACCCCTACAACTACCTCCAGAGGAAGTATTTATAGGGAAAATATGGGCTGGGCTCCCAAGCCTAGGGCTTCGGAGGCCCATTTACAACTGGACCGCTATTGGGCCGAATACAATGTGTGCAGAAATGATTAAGTGTAAAATCTAGTTCTGTGAGGCTTCCGTGGCCGACGAGGGTCTGGCCGACGAGGGCACGGCCGATGGGGGAACGGCCG